AGCCATGTATCGTTATATTTCCCAAAAGAAAAAGGATTATTTTCCCTCACATTGTGGCTAATTGATTGTTTGGCTTGCAAATGCATCGGAATGCATATCTGATGGGTGTGAATTGCTCCACCTGCTTCGCCACCAATGTGATGCAATTTGCCAGGAGAAATGGGATCTGCACGTGGCGACGCCCATAAAAAATAACGAACCCCGTGCAAAGTGCCTCCAGATGTGTTATGCATTCTTTTCCGCTCCCCACGCGACACTCACGCTAATGCCGATGTTCGTTCATTTTGCAGGAAAACTTGTCAGGCGTGCAAATGTCCACGGGACACTCATGCCGTGTATCACCAGCAGTTGACGACCGTGCGGGACAGGCTGGGCTTCAAGGCGGACTCGCACACGTCCAAGATCGACGCCCGGCAGCTGGGCTACACGTGGGCACCGCCGGGACTCCTCACCTCGGCCAAGGTGAAGAAGTACTTTGATGCCATTCCATCTGAGAAGGTCCCCAAGATCGGCTCCTCCGGCGAGCGCTACCGGGACAAGCAATTGGCTGTGCAGCTGCCCAAGCAGGATCTCGCGATGACGTACTGCAAGCACGTGGAGCCGCAGCACAGGAGCTCCTATGAGGACTTCGTGTCGGCGAGGAATGAGATCGCGCTGGATATCGGTGAGAACAATGAGTGACACGCTCGCGAGTGGTCTATTTTAGCAGATGAGTAATTAATTGCGCTTTGTCGCATCATTAGATTGAATTGCTGAATATTGAGTCACAGATCTTCTGTCGAGTGGAATGTTGTATGCATTTTGTAAATGTTTTAACTTCAATGAAAGAAAACCACAGTCAATTTGGATAAACATCTGTTGTCTTACTATTTCAAGGGCTATTTTAAGATTTATAGAGGTGGAATTTAATTGAGGATAGATATGTTAGGCATTAGATTAGTAAAAAAAACGCGAAAAACTGGCTTTATCGATACAGAGTCAATGCACTTCTTATCTCTCGAGCATATTTATCCAAGTGTGTTATCTACACAGACGATTCAAATTTCCGCTTTCGTCTCTCTTCATGCGTTTAATCGTTTCCTCTTGTGATTGCGCAGGATTCGTGAAGGATGCTCCGGCAGCGACGAAGTGCGTGGGATGCACGGAGGGTCTGAAGCAGGGCGATTTGGCTGTGATTGCTCCCAAATTCCGTGATCATATGATGTGGCATCCGCGCTGCTTCTGCTGCACAGCCTGTCAGGAGCTCCTGGTTGATCTCACCTATTGCGTGTTCGAGGACAAGCTCTACTGCGAGCGGCACTACGCCGAGATGCTGAAGCCCAGGTGCAACGCCTGTGACGAGGTGAGTTTAACGCATTTAATCATCAGAGACACTGTCGCTGAGTTGAGACACAGTTGTGGCTGAGTTTCTTGGGCGAGTTTAGCCGAGGCGCGCGGTCTGGGAAATTGAAAGTGTGATGATTTGATAAACGGTCATGAGCACGCAATTTGGTGTAAATTTTTATGTGAACGTGGAAGCGTCGTGGAAATGTTTTGGGGGGTTGAGGAGGAGCATATAATTCACGGTGGAAGTGAAGAAGAAGACGTGGTGGTGGGAATTAAAGAGCAGAGTGATATTAAGTAGATTAGGGGCGGAGAATGATGATAATGATTTTTTTCCTTTTTGCCTATTCCCTTCACTATAATTAGTCCCAGTGAAGGTCAGCCTCTTGAGACGGCGGTGGAGAGAAATTATGGGATATATTGGATGATAAGCGATTGAGTGTGTGCCAAGGTGGGCTCACTTTCACCCGTCGATGGACCATTGCGCGAGTGTGTTGGGGACTGGAAGTGGCGAGAGGAGTCCGTGATTGTTTAAAATTAGACACTACATGTGGGGAAGTGTGCGCGAGAGTGTTGGAGATGCGCCCAGACGAAGGGCTCCCCTCGGCGTGTCACAATTTTATCTGTGGGGCGTGTGCTGTGTGCAAATGTTGTCCATTTTATTTCCCCGAGCGCTCTTTTTATGCCCACCTTGGACGTAATACCCCATTTAGTGGGTCACTGTTATCATCGCGCGCGCTGGGAAAGGAGCCACACGGGGAAAAAGTGCCTCATCCTCGTCGGGTCATTTCACTTAATTGCCGAGAAAAAACCCCTCAGGCGACAGATCGTCTTCGCACACAATCATCGCCCGTCGGCCACGTTATTATATTCCTCCACGATTTTCTCTGGCTGTTCAATTTGCCGGCTTTATGGGCCACCATATAATCCACTGCGGTTCATTTCCCCGTGCGATTCCGAGGTTGCAGAGTGTGAGTGCCGGGCCCTTCTGGCCACTCCGTCGCGGCGCTGCCACAGGACTCTCGCCACTCGAGTGTGATTCGTCGATCGGTGGACAAGCCACTGTGGCATCCTTTTCGTTTCGACCCCTTTCAGTTCTTCTTTAGCCTCCCTTTTGTTTGCCTTCCATCATCTTCCGTTGCATCGCCCTCCGCCACCCACTCATTCCACACCTCTTCGCGACAACATCTCTGTCCTCCTTTCCTGGGCATTAGACGTGCGCCACTGGCCGGGACGCGCACCTGGACTTCTCCTGGGTGAGTCTGTGAGAAGTCAAGCGGTGGAAATTGTGCCAAATCATTGGCTAAAAGCATCAATATTTTGCCAAATGTCGTGAGAAAACAATTCATGAGGCGTGAAGAATAATAAAACAGAGTTTTTCTCGTGCCAGAAAATCGCTCAATTCATTGGCTCATCGGGAAAATCAGAGGCAGTAATCAAGGGGAAGCGTATTGTGAGGATGAAGTGTACTCTGAAATGAACTGAGGACTGAGAAGAAATGTTGCCAAAGTGCTGTGTACACCCAGCATCTTTCACCCTTGTGCACAAAGTGCCTGAGATCTCATTTTTCTCCCGCGACTGACTGTGAAAATGTGCTAACTTTCGCGGATTTAGAAGTCGTAAAGCGAAAGATAAATTGTGATGGATAAAGGTTGATGCATTTGAGCGCGTGTCACTCACACTGAGGCGCGAGATTTTCGGATTTTCTGCGCACAGATTTGTCTGTATTATTATTAAATTTAATGAGTCAGAGGCCAGAAGAGGTTTCACAGCTACGTCACAAACACAAATTTGCGCACGAGTCCAAGAAGCATAAACTGATCGCGCGATGTGGTTGCGTGGAGCGTTTTGTATTTCAAAAATCACATCGCAGGCGAAATTCCTCTCTGGAAAATCGGTGTATTAAAGAGAGATGCAGTGATTTAATTCTCATTGGTGTTCAGCCGCAAATTATTTTTATTTCCCACACACTGTGAATTTTATTACACTTTTCTCTGTGTATTTTTTTTTCAAACATGACTTCCAACATCTGTACAGCCTCAATTAAATTAATAATTGCCTATGAGAGTTGATTATTTGATATGATCCACTCTTCACTCAACTCAACTCACAGCCGAGAATAACTGACAAATCTCTCGACACTCTTTGCAATTATATCTTCCAAAATAAATTCAGGTTTTCTTGATATCGCGCGGGAAAAATTCCACTTTGGATTCGCGGGATATTTAGAGCGATGCTAATGCCTTCTGAAAAATGTATTTTGACTCATCGACGAAAATTTTCACGAGTATGAGAAGAGTCTCATTGATTCTCCTGCGTGGAGTTGTAAATTAATACAAAAATAACCAATTAGTGACATCAATAAAAGTGTGTGTCGTGTGGAAAAATAGACAAATAAAATTTTATAACTCATGCCATTCGCGAATTACATGCTTTCTGTGCTCAGGAAGATCTCATGGTGGCGTTTTATGTCCTTTTGTGCAGACCTCAGATTGTGGGTGTCGCTGTTTTACGAGTTGTAGGAAAAATTCTCACTAATATGACATTTGTGTATCAAAGATTTTGTGTTTCACAAGTTTTTGGGATGGAAAATTTCTACACTAAATGAAGAAATCCATTCAATAAGCAGAAATTAATTAATTAGAGCTATTTAGAGTTTGCAATCGAGTTCTAAGTCGATATTATTAATCGAGTTGTTAATTATTTAAGTTAGAGTGCATTTTATTTAGCGTGCCAAGAGATTCCAATTGGAATTCTTGCGGTTCTGCATGTGAGGCAAAATGATGTTTTTAATAACTTGAGATTTTTATGAACACCTCTTCGTGACTTAATCATATTGGACACTTGAGCTTGAAACACTTATTGGAAGAGACATCCAATAATTTCGGGCGTTAGAAGGCGACAGTGACATTTATGCGCCGGATGATCACGAAATTGGTCGATTTTTAGATGCTGCGAACATGAATTTTAGTCATAGAATAAATTTCCACTAAAATATGGAGAAAATATTCCGCAGTTTCGCGCGTCTTTTGACCTTTGCATGGATCAATTCGCGTGTAGAGAATCTCAACTCTGAGCTCCGGGAGAGCCTTGTAAATTTGTCAGCAATCTCAATCTTTCGGGATGATCGTAAAATGGACTTTAGATAAACATTGCGCGCGGTGAAACGGAAAAATTCTTCAGCACTCTCGTGCGATTCACGCCTTCAACTTGGCTATTGAATTTCGGGCTGTGAGAGCGTCTTTTGGGTGGATATTTTTAGGAACGGGTCGAGAAATCACACTTTCGATTATGGACGAAAGTGAAAAAAGGCTAATGAGTGAAAATGAGCTTCGGAGGCGGGAAGGTGTTTGACACGACCTTCGGCGTCTTCGATGGGCTCTCGGATGTGCCGCTTGAGCATTTGGCATTGAGATGCACATTGCGTGGATGGTGTATTTTTAACACGGCCGATGTTTGAGAGCATCACAACATTGGACCATATTTTCGCTTTTTGGCAATATAATCAACAATAAAAATACTCAGGGCGCATCTCTTGGCCCCTCAGCACCTCTGAGAGAGCAATTATCTAATCCGCCGTGTGACATTTTCACGGGTGCCTGTGGCTAAACATAGGCTATGCACTGTCTTCCAAGATCATTGAAATAATTGAGTGGATTGAACATGCGTCCTGAGCCAAAGTCTCGCCTTTTTGCCGAAGCCCTTTTGGCAGTAGAAAAAAAGTCACACGCCGCCGTAGGCCATATAGAGGGATCTTTCGCGATTATCGCGCACTTTTAGTGATCTCTGTAGTGTCTTTGTTTGTGCCACTTTGAGTGTCGTGAATTGGGCACAATGGCATGAAGTGTGATTCACGAGCAAATCGATCGATCGTCGCGACTGATCCGATGAATTATGTGCCACTTTCGCGATTGGTTCTTGTGTAACGTTGCCCAGTGATCGTCGAAGAGTCCCTGCACGATGGGAAATTTGCTATCAGTGCTGATTGGGTGTGTCGGAGCCGTGGAATTGATCACTCTTCTCCATCAAATCACCACAAGGGCGGAGTTGGAGTATGAGAGGCTGCGACTCTCGGAATCGGGATCAGAATACATTGTCCAGGAGCATGCTGACAGTCTCGAGAGCATCAGCACGGCGCCAGTGCCACAAATCCACTTTGAGGAGTACGAAAGGTCAAGTTCAGTGCCTGAGAGTTCAGCGCCAGTTGTCGATGGGCTGAAGACGCGACCTTTGGTGAGGGACGATGGCACTGGCAGGAGGAGAGCCTTCAAGAAGAGGGACTCCAGCGGCAGCCTCGACTCGAAACTCTCGCGCGAGGAGGAGCTCAAGATGTTCACATCGCTGGAGGAGGAGGAGTTCAGGAGCATGACACAGGGTGATTATGTGCCAATAAGTTACAACAGTGAGTCTGGGCTGAAGGTGAAGAAGCACCACAAGAGGCACAGGAAGAGTCCAACCATTAGTGATGCTCTTCGCGAGTCCACGGGAACTTTGAGCTCCTCTGAACTCACCGAGGAGACGCTGAGTGAGGGAACGGAGGATGAGGTGTCCTATCCTTGGGGTGATATTAATCCTGAGCACCACAAAGGGCTGAGGCAACAAATGCAGAAGACTCACTCGATTGGGGATCTCAATGAGGAGGATGAGAAGCTGGCTTCGAGTGCAGAGAGTGGCGCAGATTGGAGGAAGAATGCCGAAAGAGTAAGGAAGAGTTTCTCTATAAGTGATTTAAAAGTTAAACTTGACCTTTTCCTAGGCGACGAAAATTGCCGAGACGGACGCTTCCGCCGATGTAACCGTAAGTAGTGCGGAGTGGAAGAACTCTGGCGAGTTTGAGGCTGTCCCAACAAGCTTTGCATGCGTAGAGCAGGATGAGCAGATCCCGGAGCTTGAGGATGAGGCGAAAGTTGAAGAGTGGCTCAGCCAGGGACGCTTGAGGGATTCCTTCTCCCCAACAGCCACACTCACGCGCTCCAAGCGGTGCCTTCAGATGGACTCCATGGACGTTCAGGACGGAGACTCAGAGTCAGAAGGCGCAGTTGAACTAACACCTGAGGATTTAGATATAGTGATTGTTGAGGCTACTCCTATTCTTAACCACTTTGATGAGGCCAAAGATGAAAACAGCGAAGAGACGTACTCCTATTTGGATCTCTCGGCAGATGAGAAGGAGGAGATTCTCATGGAATTGTCACATAAATCTTCATCACCCGTAGAGGTTTCCCGGGAATTCCTCGAGCATGAGAGGCAGGCAGAAGTTGAGGAGGAATCAGTGGTGTCTGGAGAGGAGGAGATTGAGGATTTTGATGATATTGTAAATGCCCTGAAGAAGAATGTGGCGAAAGAAGAGATACAATTTGAGGATCTGGTTGAAGATGCATCACCGACTTCCGAGAAAAGTGACATCTTCACGCTGTCGCCGGAGAAAGAGAAGGCGAAAGACGAGGCGAAACATGAGGGAGAATGTAGTGATGATGATGATGAGGAGGAAGAGAGTTTGAAATTTCCCGCAAAATCCTTTGCGGCCTATAATGAATTTCCCACAGAAGACAACATCCCGCCCAGTGAGACTTCCGGCGGCAGTAAATCACGCTGTGAGATTCTGGAGGCGGTGAGGAGGGAGAATCGCCGGAGGCAGAGGAATGGCGGTCCAGACAGATACTACGCGCCCAGGCCTTCTGTGATAGACTTCCCAACGCGGCTGCAGCAATCCAATGCGGCCCTTGAGGAGCAATTGAAGGTCTTTCCCGTGAAGAATGTCAATGATCCTGAGTTTTTCCCCACAGTCAGCGTCCCAGTGCGCGAGATTGCCAAAGAGGAGCCATCAAAAGCATCTCCGGAGATTGTTGTCATGACGGAGTCTCCTTCACGATCAGAGGATGATATTGTGAAGTTCATCAGCATGGAGAGATTGTCCGTGTCGCCGTCGAGGCAGAGCAATATGCGAATTGCCGACAGAGATGATCCCATGATGGTTCTCCTCAAAGACAACATGTTTCCCTTCTAAAATCTTGCAAACTCATGTAGTGTTTCGAGAATGGCTTTGAGTAAATCCTTTTCTAACAACCCATGATGACTTATTATATATTTTCATGTAGTTCTCATTGGGCAGTGACTCGATGAAAAATCACATTCTGGCATCTTCAGACACTTAACATGAAAATTTATCATCATTCTTCGGGATTTCGCTGCGTTGCATAAGTCCGCGAGAGTCATAAAGTAGCACAATATCATCATAACTTTGTATAATAACTCCGAGAAGAGCCAAAAGTGATCAAAAATGAAGCATTTTGCTGTTCATTAGCGATTCAAGCGCTACAATCTGTCCTCCTTTTGCCTTGAAAATGGATTTTTGGGACACTGGGAAGCGCCAAGGATGCTCAAGTGTGGCAAAGAGTTTGACTTTTTGCCTTGATGTGCCGAATATAGTGATGAAACTATTAGAGATTTTCCATATGACATCGTGCCGTCGAAATCAATTGCGAAAACACTGTGAAAATGTTGCAAAACTGACCGACATGACGACCCAAAAAGATGAATTTTCGTACAACGAACTTGTCTCAGAGACTAATTTTCAAGAATAAATTTGTTTACACGCCCAAGAGTCAAGAAGAATGTCCGAATGTTTCATGCCACTTTTATAGGATCAACCGAGCAGCAGAATTTCGCCGATTTTCCTCCTTCAATGCAGATTGAGCGCTTCTGTGGCCCAATAGATTTCTTACTCTTTGATGCTTTATTTGCATTATTAGTAAATCTGTAATTGTGTTATTCAACCGAGAAGCTCGTCAGAGAGACACACTTTAGAGCTATAATTAGATGTTCGTCCATCGCTGAAGCGACTATATGTAAAATTGTTGTTGTGGAATTTGCAAAAAGATGAAGAAGAATTATCGCGTGAGAGATGAGGAAAATCGACGTATTGAGATGGACGATTGTGATAAAATTGTCAAGGCGTGGAATGAGATTTGATTGACCGCAAAAGATTTGTTTACGTGATTATGATTTAGAAGTCCTAATTAAATGAAGCTCATTTAAGCGACATGCATACTTCTCATTAATCTTTTAAGGGGAAACTTTTCCCCTTAAGACCTTCGGGATTCTTGATTATCTGTCTCAAACATTCTTAAGTCGATTCCGGAAGAGAACACTGACCATTCCTAATCCCTTATCTTTCCGCCGCTTAACTCTGTGCAACACGATCGAAAGTGCGGAGAGATGAATTGTGTGACTCTATGTTTGTATGGCGGATACTCTTGCTGACCTAGTGCTATGTACATTGGCGAGATCAAGCGTCTCGGGTAGTGAAACGGGCGTTCGTGTCGTGTGCAACGTGAGGTGACTGTGTGTGGGGAGAGGAATTATTTCGAGAGACAAGGAGGAATTTCGCGGTGGACGCGGATGATGCTTGTCATCGAAAATTTGCTCATTTCCACGCATTTTTTCACTCCTTTCTTCTCAGATGCTCTTGCGCTTTCCACACACACACACACACACGCGCGCGCGGGTCTCACGCACGATCGCGTGTGGGTTAATCGTGGCTCCCCTCGAGTGTTTCTTCGTGAAAACATATAAATTTCTGGAATGTATTTTGGGATGTGCTGGGTTCAACTGAGGAAAATTTGAGACTACTTCATCAGTTTCACAGTCAATCTTGGGCGTCGCGGTGGGTCGAAAGTGATCGTGGTGTTGCCGTGAATTTTCTGGGGATCTTGAAAAGAAGGGGATTTTCTTCTGGAGGGTTTCGCCATGGCGGATGTTGATGTGATGCACACGGTGACGGAGGTGAAGAAGACGCGGAAAGTGAAGAAGACCACGAAGCGGAAGGACGAGCATGGTGGCTCCGAGGTGATGATCACGGAGATGGATCAGACCAATGAGTTCAATGATCAGGGGTACGTGTCACCGTGCGGACGAGACTCCTAGCCGGGGGTTGGGTGACACGTACCCTGACTAACAAGAAGGTATGCCCGAAGGGGGAGGGAGAAGACTGGCGGATTGGCTCCGCGAGCATCCAGTGAAATTATGTCACTCACCCAAAAATAAAACAAACTCACCATATCAATTCCTCCGCGATATTGGTGTTTTGTGCAAAAGAGGCACCAATAGTTACGCAATGAGCCCACAATTGACAAATCCCTGACCGCGCGCACATCTCAATTAGCTTCCCATCCATGCGGATGATTTTCATCAATGCATGCATTAATTAAAATATCTCTAATGTGGCATCTGTGGCCTTTTTGCAGTTAATTTTCAGTGGCGAGTACACGAAAGCCATGTCCAAGGATTGGCACACCACCCACTTCTGCTGCTGGCAGTGCGACGAGTCGCTCACTGGACAGCGCTACGTCCTCCGCGACGATCATCCCTATTGCATCAAGTGCTATGAGAATGTCTTTGCCAACACTTGCGAGAGCTGCAACAAGATAATTGGAATTGACTCCAAGGTGAGAATGTGCTCGGCATTCCTGAGTAATTATAGATTTATTAAATCATCGCTGGTTCTTTTTTTCCACGCGAAATATGATATGCTGACACATTTTATGGGGGTGTTTTGGGGGATTTTTGGAGGCTTGTTACCCCCCAAAACTTAGTGGAAAATCATTGAAGTGTAAATAGTGCAATATTTTGAGCTTTCTCTTCTTCTTTTCTCCTCTTGAATTACGCGAAAAAAACAGCTCATGATTCATTTTCCGCCCACGCATTTCAACGAGATCAAGAGGAAAAGCTTGTAATTTTCACAAAAACAGCACAAGCTACAAAATATGGTATTTTTTTCAACTGAAGACTTCAGTTTTGTGCATGAATAGCGACAATGAAGTGTCCTTCACACGTCTCACTGGCGATTTATCTACTCTCCCATCCTATCTTAATGGGAAAGGTGTTTTCACTGGGTGAAATATATTACAAATTCAGTTCGTGGGTCGTAAAGTGAGAGAGAGAGAGAGAGAAGCGAAAGCTCATGAAAAAGGCCGCACTGCAATTCTACTGATTCAAGAACATTGGCGTGATTGCGCGGGAATTAATTGGGTAAATGCTGAGATATATATCACTATAATGGTGATTTGTTTATTGAATTTGTGGGATTTTAGTTGCTTTTTCTAGTCAAATTTTATGGCCTTTTCACATTGTTTACACAAATATCTCATTTGTGCCACAATTTTAATTGGTCGCTCTGAATTTTCTCCATCACTTTCTCAAAAAAAAAAAACAACACAGGATCTCTCGTACAAGGACAAGCACTGGCACGAGGCGTGCTTCCTCTGCAACAAATGCCGCATTTCGCTGGTGGACAAGCAATTTGGCTCGAAGGCAGATCGAATTTACTGTGGCAATTGCTATGATCAACAATTTGCCTCGCGATGCGACGGCTGTGGCGAGATCTTCAGAGCCGGTGAGTAAACTTCCTCCTCAATTGTGGATCACACAAATCTCTCATTGGAATGTTTCTGGGCAAATATTGGCGCGCTGACTGAATTGATATTCACTGTCGCGATTGTTGGTCACATTCGGACGATTTCTCGGGCTTATGTGGATGGCAATTGAATGAGGCACGCAAAGAGACCACCATCGGATTTATGACTTAATTAGGCGTTAAATTGAATTTTCCAACTGAAATGGGTTACTTCGCCATAAATGCTCAGCGAAAAGACCTCAAAAGCGATGAATCACGGCTGAGGAAGACGTCGAGCGCGAGCGAAGAGAATTTTAATATGAATAATCACACATTGAAGAAATTCGATGGACTTGAAGATAGTGCAAAAAGCGGGGGAAACATATCAATTGCATTGCATTTGGTGGAAGTGGAGCAGCAAAACTGAGAAAGTATTTGCATATTAACTGAGGAAAATCTACGGAAATATTCCTTCTGTATTAGAGAAAAAAAAATGCTCACATAATGATTACATAGTTCTAAACAATGGCGTGCCAAATGTTTAGTCTAATTATGTATGACGTCAGAAGGCATGTTGTATGTCTTTTCGCGGGGGTCTTTTCCCCTTGACAACAGAAATAGTGGCCATAAAAATACTTTCTCTAACTCATGCCGTACAGCAGATCTTTCCTGCATTTGACACGGAATGAAAATGCAATGATAATTTAATTAAAAGCCATTATGAGGTTGTAATTGAAAAATTGCTACGATGGAATTCATGGTATTTTCATGACGCTATAATATTTTCTCTCTCCCTTCTTGTCGGGCGCGCATTTTGTCCTAAGAGAACATCGCGTGTAAACAAATCCTAAACGGCCCGAAAATATATCAACTGCACGGTGAATTTGCTTTATTTCCTTTGCTCTGGCATTCACAGTGTGACGATGTGAGATGGTTTAAGGGGAGTTTAGGGGAATTTTCCGTGTCTCTTCCTCAATTCTTGCAATACTCAAAATCAATTCTATTTGTGTGTTTGTGTGTGATTCGGAAAACCAGTTGGAATTCTCACCAGATTCCCACTTTGTGTGACATTACAACAAGCTTTTCTGATGCGGTGTTCAATATCATTATGAATTCTCAATGACACTCTTGGGGACATTTTCTCTTCACTCCTCCAGATTTGGATTCGCATATCAGTTGGACAGTGAATTTCTCGAGATCTCCCGTTCCGCGATTTTATCCATAAACACAATTTCCCATCTCACTCTAGCATGTTCTTGGTGATCTTGAAGATTTTTCGCTGAGCGCGACTCGGAAAACGCCAACGTATATTTTCGACTCTTGATACACATTCCCCATTGAAATTAACCTGTTGTGTGTGTTTAATTTAATAATTGAGTGTGTTGCGCACCAGAATGGAAGTCACTCGGCTGCCTTTTCGCCTCCTCCAGACACTTTTGCCTCCGTTCAAGTGATTTTCAATAGTATAATCCACTCACAGCGGCGAGACGATATTCAGTTTCACTTCAACTGCTGTCGAGAGCACGCGCCTCTCTGTTGTTTTCCCGCCAAAAAGTCACGGGTTTCCAGTTGTCTTGCCTCAAATACACGGTGTACGGAGTGAATGTGCAGATATGGCCGCGGATTACCTGGCATCGGACTTCAACAATCGCCTCAGGCTCACCACGAAGACGGTGGGTGGCGATAGGATAAGGAAGGCGAAGGAGAACAATGAGGATATCGCGGTGTTGAGCATGTTCCTGCCGATGCAGTCGCGCCAGGAGGAGAACAATCAATTCCGCTGCGCTCTGGGATATGCCTGCAAGCTGGGAAATGCCCGCGAAGCCACCCCAGGTACACAAGCTGACGCCACACAATGATAGTGGGCTCGTAAAGCCATCAGCTTCCATTATTTACTACCTGAATCACTTAGCATCTCCTTGCCATTTACGAATGAACTCTTCGTCCAACTCATCACGACGCTGCCGAGTGATTTATGATTTTTTGATATCTCTACATTCAATGCTAATTCTCAGCATATTTTTTCGCCTCCTCAGCAAATATTGCTGTACTCTCTGCTGTTTGTCTACGCAATTTGTGAGCCCAAAAGTGATTAATTGGAGGTTTTTCTCTATGCCGACACGCTTTTCGATGCAAAACACGATTAAAGCAGATTTCCGAAGGTGGCACTAAAGCGGTTTATTCAATTGATCTGGCAAATATTTGATTCTTACGCGATATCCTATTGAGAGTTTCATCAGCCTTGGGGATTGACAATGGATTGTATTGTGGAGGAAAAACTGTGCGGGATGCTTGAGAGTCCGGGAATGGATTAAGCGAGGAATTTGGAGAACAGCATGTGATTAATTGAGAAGGGATTCTCCGAAGATTGAACAGAAAAGTGTCTGTTTGTTTAGAGACAGAGAATTCTTGCACAATTTTCCGCGTACTTGAGTATGAGTTGGTGAGTTAAAATTAGATGATTTTCTCTATACGTGAATGTGTAAAAATTAATTCCAAAGAATTCTCTCTTCAGCTGTACTTCATCTCCAATGAGGTCAAAATTGCCTTTATGCGTATTTTGTGAACGCTTGTATTGATCTAAATAGCCTGAATTGTGGCTGCATCTGTTTTTGTAAGTTTCTCAGTGAGGCAATAGATCAATTAGGCGCTGCTTGAGAGCTCCTATAATGCGAGAAAATATACACGACACATTTGTACTTAATCGATTAACGTTGGATAATTAAGATCATTAGATTTTATTGTTATGACTCTCGCGAGATGCAGTGCGCGTATGTGAGAAGCCAAAAGGCAAAATTGCTACCAACTAATTGGGGCAAGTTCAATTCTAATTAACTTATTCAATTTGTGGGTGACAAGCAGACTTGCGGCTGCTGATGGAGTATATCGAACTCTTTCTCCTTTGCGTGTGCTGATATGGCTGAAGAGATCCTACGCACTTGACATTGAGTGTCTATTTGGAGAGACAATCGATAGGTGTCCTCGGCACTTGAATTTCTTTTGCAAATGTCTTTTTCCGCCAGAAATTAATTCACAGACGAGGCTACTTGCGTCCCAAGCCATGTGCAAAAGCGCATAAAGTCAAGGCTTCTTGGGCAAAAATCCTCACGATGACTTTCCACGCCGGCCCACCGCTTTTTTTCATTCCACTCTCTGATCCATTGGCAGAGAGAGACTAATTAAAAGCACATTTTTTGGGTGTGCGAAGCGATCTCAGGCCTCGTTTCTTGATATTCTCCCGAGTGACAAAGTTGGAAGTAAATAATACTGCAAAATTCCATTCACAATTGTGCGGAGTTGAGACCATGAAATTGCCTCAGTTGCCATTCATGGTTTGCCGAAGAAAAACAACCCAGCGATCTGTGGGCGACTCTTTATGCTGATTTATGCACCCATGCGAAGGATAAGTTCATTGCTTACGTGAATCATCACCCTTCCGCAAAGCACCACAGCTCATGGATGATCCGCTGTGCGTGATCTTCTGCCCACCCACGTTCTCGAAGCATGTCAACCATAGTTTGCGCACAATTTCGCACAAGAGGGAATTGCTGCCCATCGTCAGCTTATAAGGCAATTTCGTGGGAATTTCTTTTGGTCAAAGTGGTCCGCCTTTAATGGGCAGGGGTTTTTGCACCTGATCGCTCGCGAGCACACGAGTGAGAGTCGCCCAAGTGTGGGGCTTCTGATTGACAGTAAATCGAAAATGCGAGGATTGAAATGGTGTAAAAAGTACACTTGAAAATGTCTCACATTTTCCAAATACAGCAATAAATGCCATTTCCAATGTTACGTGCACCCAATAGAGCTGTGGGTGTTCTAGATAGAAGATTAGGTACACGCACATCAAATCAATTTTCCCACCAAATATTCCTATTATCTAACGCCCAACAACAAGAATGTTCTGGTCACCCAAAGTTTCACCCACGCTCGAGTGTCTGCTGTGTAAATTGTATTTTAAATGCTGGCTCCACGGAATTTGCATAGCTATTTTCAGGAGTTTTGGGGGTATTTTTAGAGATGTGAAGCAAGAAATGCTTCAGGTATTACCTAAGAATTGAGTAGACAACCATTTCCTGCAATAGTTTCGCGTAATTTTTGCACTCTGGGTGGTTTTTTGTGCGGAAAATTTATCACCCATAAATTGTCAAATGGCTCATTGTTGAATGTCCAGAAGTATGGCCCATTAAAAACTATAATATCTTGCATAAACGGTCGTAAGAGATTGCCAATTCCACCCACATTGAGTGTGTTTGAGCGTGGGTGAAATTTATCTTTTGGGTGAAAGTTGACTCAACTCTGGTGTGACCTTAACTTCCTTGCCAATCGTATTAAACCATGTGAATTTGATGGAGAGCCTCGGAGTGTACAAGTGAAATTTAGTCGATTTCCCGCGCATTTTTCTCGTTGACTTCACGAGAATAATAAATCCCGACCGACAAGGTCACAGACAACAATTATTTCCAATTCGCAGTAGCGACTCTTCGGCCCGCAATATCTATATGACAGAATGCCATCGCGTGTCGCGATGAATAAAATCTGCATTTATGAAAATTGGCTGGTTTACAGCCCCTCAAGAAGCGCGCTCACTTATCATCCATGGCTTTTGTACACGTGTTTTTGCAGGCACCAAGAAGATGGAGTACAAGACGAGGCAGTGGCACGAGAAGTGCTTCTGCTGCTGCGTGTGCAAGACACCCATCGGGACCAAGTCCTTCATCCCGCGCGAGCAGGAGATCTACTGCGCCGGATGCTACGAGGAGAAGTACGCCACGCGGTGCATCAAGTGCAACAAGATCATCACCTCCGGCGGCGTGACGTACAAGAACGAGCCGTGGCACCGTGAGTGCTTCACCTGCACCCACTGTTCCACCTCGCTGGCCGGGCAGCGCTTCACCAGTCGCGACGACAAGCCCTACTGCGCCGACTGCTTCGGGGAGCTCTTCGCCAAGCGATGCACTGCGTGCACCAAGCCGATCACTGGTCAGTGTCTTAACTTAAGAGACTCCGCGACTCGATCGCGCTGCCTTAAGAGAAGATGTTTCTCAAGCCACTCGCGATTTCTGGCCATTAACCATTGAAAATTACTTAAATGTTTCATTGTTATGTGCATTTTTTGATTATTTTCTCAACATATTACCGCAGCAGTATGAGCTGCAAAGGCATGTAGAAGTTCCGAATGTAGTTTTAAAAGGCAAATTCGGCCCTGTGATTTGAACGCTTGCCTCTTAGTCCTACTTTTAGGACTTTGAATCCAGATTGTGGCTAATTTTGTGACTTTTTCAATCAGTTTTAAATTCATAATTATTTAAATGCCAAAAATATTCATATTTTGATTATTTAGCAATTTTTCAAACAAGCGAGATTGCTCAAAAACTGGCTTCATTGTTTGTTTTCCTTTCACCCAAAACGTCAGAACTGAAACTCGATTTTCCTTCATCGAGAATCACGCGCCAATTCTTAATAACGTAATATTTTAGATTGAGGATCAGTGGAACATTTGCATACTGGCTTTATCAAATCCAAACATCAGCGGTTCAAGTTACTAAAACATCTCGATTATTCAGCCAATTAAGGAGATTGAATAAAATTCCAATTTACTGCTTAATTGCATTTGACAAAGCGTGCTAAATTGCCTGTTTTACTGTCGCTGCAGGAATCGGCGGAACGCGATTCATCTCATTTGAGGATCGCCACTGGCACAACGACTGCTTCATTTGCGCTCTCTGCAAGACATCTCTGGTGGGACGCGGCTTCATCACTGACGGAGCCGATATCATCTGTCCGGAGTGCGCGAAGCAGAAACTAATCTAAGAAGGAACCGCGCCGAACCTTCCCTGTTCTTGTTCTTATGACAGCAATTTTAAAAACCATTACTTTCGAGGTGGTCAAACATGATGGAAAAAATGTACTCATTTTAGGGATTTTAACAGTGTCCGCAATTTTATTCTCTCTGTTCTTCCCATGTTTTTGTAGAACACAAACAATCATTTTGTAGAGTTTTTTTTATATATATGTTATTCTTTCTAATAATATATTGCCATTAATTTTGCGGTAGACTTTTTTTCTTTATTTTTTAATCCAACATAATTTATTAGGAATCTGACGATTTAGAGGAGAAGAGAAGAGCTTAAAAGTGTGAGAAGAATCAATGATATATTAACTCCTTAAATTTAATTGTAGAGACAATCTAATTTCACAATATTTTCACTAAATATAAATTGATGACTCCTGTTTGATGAAAGCAAAGAAAAAAAAAGTGAAGAAGAGTGAAAAGAAGCAAATTTTTTCATTATGACTTTTGTGAAATTTTGACTCTAGTCAAAATGTTGCGAGAAAAGTAATTAAATCTTATTCTCTGTATAATTAAGATCTTATCTTAAGTCAATGATCAAAAAAAAAGAAATATGTCTGTATAAAGAAGATAATGCCAATTAGTTGTTAAACAAGGCAGAAAAGAGTTATATTTAGTCAGTTTTGCAATAGTGCGAGCGCTTTGATTTGTTCTTTTCTTGGCAATAACGCGTCATATAGAGAGTTGTAATGATTGAGAATGAAATTAGATGAGAAACTATGACAATTTTAGAGATTATTAACATTATTAAAGTAAATGGAATGTAATAAATGAACAAAAGGTAATGCAGAAATATTCTATTAGTGGGGAAAAGAGTGTTAAGAAGAAGGAATCTATCTCTATACTTAATACTACGGCCTATTCACAAAAGTTGCCTTCTTTTATAAAAAAAAAGTACCAGAAAAAAATGATACAAAAAGAAAAATACTACATATTACATTAATATCTCTTAGCGGTGTGTTTGTCGAATAAAGAACAAGAAAATAAAAACAATGTGAAGATAAATTCTGATTAGAAGAGAGCATAATCATTGAGATGCATCTATTTTTCTTAGGCAGAAGAAGAAGAAAAACTTGTCCTGGGACTAAAGTAACTTTGAGAACATCTTATTTTCTCAGCATGATCAAAATTCAAAAAGATAAAGAGAATAAAAGAAGTTTTTCTTCCGTTCTGTAGTTAAAATATTGATCATAGTGTAAAGAGAATCATATGTTACTACATGTTTAACATAACTGTTGCACATCTTTCATGTAATTTACATTTTTTGTTTTCTTCTTTTCTTTTGAACAAATAAATTTATTAAAAACATTAACAATGATGACTTTCTTGAGAAATGCGGTGATTTTTGCGATGACGACGTGAGAAAAGTTCGATCCTGAAGGTGAGAATAGGTGAGTAAAGATCTCATGATGGTTTTTCACTGTGTTTATTGATTCTCCTTGCTACCCAGAATATTTCATGGCAGGAAAACTGATTAAAATAATTTTCTTTTCCTGCTTTTTGACGAATTTGCTGAATTGTTACTTATAGCAATTACATGGTGAAGCCCCAGGTGGCGCGCCGAGCAGTTGTCAGAATACCGCCATGGATTATCAATACGGTGTTTGAGAAAAATTCACAAAAATTTAGTTTTTAGGCCTTATACAAAGCTTAGGTGAGTGGAAAACGAGACTCCATATTGTCCAGCATCAGCATAAGTAGTGGGATTAGCTGAAACCGCTTCAGGTTCATCGGAGTCGCGATTTGAGTTTCCTCAATCCACCCTTCAATGGACGTGACCAAACAGTTTGATGCCCTTTTTCCTCGTTTCAGGTAGTTCAAGGGGGATTTGGCAGGCGCTGGACAATGAGGCGGAGTCGTGAGGGTGAGCATCGGTCGGAGAGACGCGATGAGGCACCGCGGAGAGGACCAAAAACACCCCCAGACCCCGGACCAAGCATCGACAGTGGCTCCCATGAAGGTAGAAATAATGACAAAATGGAGTCGGCATTGGTACTAAATAGGGCTTTTTCTCGCCTCAGGAGGCCGCCGGCGATCGGGCAGCGGCCGCTCGGGATCACAGAGGAGACGCTCCACATCTCTGAGGGATGAATCTCGGCGGAGGCGCATGACAAGGAGTCGTTCCGGGAGTGTCCGGACAGACATGCGAAAGGTTGATGACCTGTCGGCGGAGATAGCGCATCTGCGACAGCAGTGTGCGGAGAAGGAGAGGAATCTGCAGAAGATGTACAGCCAGCTGGACCGTCCGGGCAGTCCTAAGAGAAACAATCAAGTGCCGTTGAGTTCACCGAAGGGTTACAAGAAGAAGAAGAAAACAAAGTCCAGAAAGAACAGTCGCGAGCGATCTGAGAATTCGCTGGGGAATCAAATGCAGGACGTTGTGGTGAAGCGCGATGACTTCTTCGTCTACAACATTCCACGGAACATCGTGAAGTACACTAAAACTGAGCCATCGATCATGTTTTCCTGTAAAACCAAGACTTCTGAAATGTTTTTCCAACCTGAATTGCCTTTCAAGGTGAAAATGCACAAAACTAACGATGAATTGTGGGAGGAAGACGCTCCGCCGCCAGCCAGCCAACCAACAAATGCACTTTTGCAAGAGAAAGACGCAAAAAGTGACGTGAAAAGTGTTGAGGAAGCAAAGAAGAGTGCGTCAAAGTCCAAAAAGGCAGATGAAACCAAATCAGTGAAGAAGATCGACAAGGAGCGCGAGATTGAGCGGCAGAGAGAGAATTTCCTCGTGAAGAACACGGTCATGACGGTGAAACAGGAGGCGGAGAGGAAGACAAAGGAGATCCGGAAGAATTTGGAGAGTGCAAAAGCCAAGGAAGCGCCAGTTGATCAGCCGAAAACTCCTCCAGCTGTCGAAGTGAAAGTCGCCGTTGAGAGTCCGTCGTCGACGGCTGAGTTGCTGGACAAGCGGCCAGAGGAAACGAAGAGCGAGAAGTCATCTGTGGTGCAGAAAGTGGCGCAGAAGAGAAAGAAGAGATTCAGTTCGTCAACCAGCACAACATCCACATCAGCGACATCTTCATCTTCCTCAGACTCTGATGACGATTCAGATTCTGACTCCAGCAGCAGCTCCAGCAGTTCCTCGTCCTCCTCCAGCAGTTCGTCCAGTAGTGTTGAGAAGCCAGTGAAGGTGCGAAAGAAGAAGGAAGTGCTCCCGGCAAAGGTGGAGGAGGAGAAGAAGGAGGACGTGACGGTGGCAACTCCTGAAGTGCCTAAAGCTCAGGAAGCTGCTGTGGAAGTGAAGGAAGAGCCTGTTGTTGAGAGTTCACGAGAGATTGAATGCCACACTCCGCCTTTGCCGCCGCAGATGATCAATATCTCGCCGGCCAAGCGGACGCCCATCGTCATGAAGCTCCAGAGCAAGGTGGATAAGGTGACGCCAACGAGAATTCCAGCTGTGATGGCTGAGGACGCTGAGGATGACGCTGACTTCACGGAGACTCTCACGGAGACGAGGAGAGCCAAGTCCAAGAGTCCTTCGGAGGACAGCGACGCGAAGCTGGTCACAACAACTTGTGGGCCGGAGGTGGAGGAGCAGGCGAGGATAAGAGCTGTGCAGCAGGCCGAAGAGGAGGCGAGGAAGGAGAGGCGGAAGTACAGATCGCCTTCCAGGCAGAGCAGCAGCAAGAGGCGTCGCTCGCCGCCTCCGGAAAAGAGTCGACGCTCTTCCCGGAATCGCAGGCGTCAATCGCCATCGCCCGAGAGGCCGCGGAGGACGCGTAGTCGCAGGGATTCTCCGCCATCATCCCGTCGACGTCGCTCGCCGCCAAGAGGATCTGGACGTCGAAGGAGGCGCTCGAGATCTCGCTCGTGGACACGGAGTGTGTCAAGATCGCGGTCCAGAAGCAGGAGCAGGAGCAGGGAGAGGAACCACAGGAAGAGGAGTCCCTGGAGGCCGCCGAGTGTGACGAGGATCAATTTCTTGACCGACAAGAATCCTCAGTGGGAGGATTGGGATGCGGTGTACGAAAAGGCGAGCGCCGAGAGGAACTTCTACCCGTTTCAGGGTGGGAATTTCGACAACACGCGTCCGGAGGCGAATCCACCGTGGCCCGTGAGGCCAGTTTCACCTCCTCATCGATCTCTGGATGATCGCATCAATTCTGCTCTCAATGAATCTGCGAGGGAAGTTCCTGAGCGACAAAGTGCAGGTATTTTTTTGTTATCTCTGGGAATGCAGTGTGATGTTTTCTAACAATAGAATGTCTTTCTGGGCAGTTTTCCAGCCAAACTATCATCATCAGTTCCCCACGTACACGGGCAGTGGCTTCCCGCGACCTTATCATTCCACCACTGAGTATTCTCACTACACGGAGTCCATCTATCATCACAATAATCTCCAGCAGCAGATGATTGATCCGAACTTTCAGTGTCGACCGTCGCCAAATCTCATTAGCATCCCGCAAGTGGATCAGCCACAGCCGAAGCCGCCCAGCATGCTGCAGAAGGGCAATGTGATTGAGGTGGTACCCACGACGCTGGCCAATGCAGATCCGACAAAGATTCACCATCCGCTGAACAGCGTGGCGGAATCTTCGTCGCCCATTTCTGCGGCGAAGAAGCTCATCTTGCCGCCTTTGGGCAGGGTGAAAGTGGTAAAGACAGCGGTGCAGAGGAAGACGATCAGGGAGAAGAAGAGGCTGGAGAAGAAGATGCGAAAGAAGAAGTTGGAATTTGAGATCAAGCAGCTTCTGTCGGGTGCGCAGAGTGTTGAGATCACGTCTGAGGAGATCATGCCGGATGTGGAAGGACCTGTTAAGGAGAGTTCCAACAGGTGAGGAAGTTTCTTAAAGTATCCTGAGAAATTGTTCTTAATTTCATTGTGATTTTGCAGTGTGTCTGTGGTGAAGAAAGTCATCTTCTCAGATGGTGTTATTCCGGGCGCAAGTTCCTCCGATTCTGGCCTCTCTTCGTCTGATGAATCAATCTCAGCGGACACTTTGTCTGGCATGACGACGAATCAGGTGAAGAAGTACAGAAAGCAGCGACGCAAGAAGAAAGAGCGGAACAAGGAGAATTCCTTGAGTGGTGTTGTTGGTGAGAAAGTTGAAACACCGCCACCGGTGAGAGATCCTCGACGACAGCCCGAGGTGGCGAAGAATGGCGCCAAGGAGGAGGACACTACCAATTATCCGCCACCTTCTCCGCCACCGGGTGATCCGCCCACGCACATGGTGCAGCCGTCGCTGAAGCGTGAGGTGCAGGAGAGACCCAAGAAGCTGCTCTACTTCAATGCCGTGCACCGGGAGAAGCGCATGGACATCTTCTCCATCTACGTGCCGCCGTCGGCATTTGTTAAAGTACAAGATCCACGTCTGCTGAAGTATCCCATGGTCAACAGGCGAAGGATTGCGGCGCCACTGTTTCCCACTAATGTCTATCCGCGACCACCGCAGCCCTATCCACACTTGCCGCCGATGCAAGTGTCTCCGGCGACGGCGATCAGACCACCTGTTCCTGTTCCAGTTCCAGTTCCGGCGCCTGTGCAGCAGAACTATGAGACATACAGTGCGCCGGCAGCGAGAATTCCCGTTCTCACGCATCCATCGCCGGCAGTTCCGCCCTATCCGCCGCCTCCCATCCACCAGCCGCCAATGCTGCCCTCAATGCACCATCCGCCGCCCCATCACTTCCCCCCGAATCCCTACTACGTGAACAACGGACCCATCCCGCCCAACAGATACTAGAAGAAATCTCTGCATGTCATCTTTATTGCCAAGGCGGTCACATCATTGGGCTGAGAGTGTCTCTCAGACTCTCAGCAGGAAGCTCAAGTCGGAGTTCGGAGGCACTTCAACGGGGGCTTTCGACCTGTGCAAAAGAAGGATAAAGAGAGAGAGAAAGTGAGTAGCAAAATTAATTTAAAAAATTTCAACTCAATCCTCGTTGGGTTGTTTTGTTGTTGGAAGGAGAAGAAAGTGAGCAAGAATTTAGCGCAGTATATAATCTCTAATAATGAATCCTGGAACGATCTTCAGGATGCATGATGAAGTGAAATATAGACAAACTTAAGAACTTACTTCATGAACAGTCTGGCATTGAAGTCTCCCAGGAGAGTCACCTTGTCGTCCTCAACCAGAAGGCTCGTGCCCTCGCGCAGTCCGAGAACGGGAGTGGTGTTGAGATGGTGGAACTCCTCGATGCGCTGCTGGCGAGTCTCGCCGTGATGCGTGCTTCCGGTCACTGGGTCGAGATAGTGTGGATTGATGTTGAAGGGCACGAGCGCCAGGGCGTCGAAAGTGGGCGGATAGATGATTGGCATGTCGTTGGTTGTCTTGATGTTGATTGTCGCGACATTTGTGCCAGCACTGCTGCCCACGTACACGGCATTTCCGCTGAAGATGCGCTCCCGGATGGCCTCGATCAGATTCTTCTCGCACAGCGTCTTCAGCAGGAGGAATGTGTTGCCGCCGCCCACGTAGATGGCTTCTGCCTTGCGCACGGCATCTACGGGATCTTCCTGGCGGTGAATTCCCTCGACTTCGTAGCCCCAGGAAGTCAGCACATCGCCGACTTTCTTCGTGTACTTGTCGTAGTTGAACAGCGCAAAGGGCACGAAGAGTATCTTGGAGACGTTGTGCTTCTTGAAGAAGTCCGTGAGGGCTTGCTTGGAGTGCTGAAGGTACTCGAAGCCGTGCACTTTGGACGAGGAGATAAGAAAGAGATTTCGCTGAACCATCTTGGATGAAGTTTGAGTCTCAACTGACGACTAAATGGTGTAAATATTCCGATGACAATTGACGCTTATCAGACAGTTGAGCAGCAGATTAGCTTTATCACCAGTCTAGTCCTCAAGTGGTATTTGTGGCTTTTGCAGACGATGTGCATTCGCGCGGGGAAAAATGACTGGGAATTTTGAGGTGAAGAAGAGGAAAACAAAATAAGGAACCACTTGTAAGTTTTTACTGAGGAGAAAGTTTTGTCATCTTACAAATTTTGTTCGTTAATACACTGTGAAGAAAAGTTGACGTGTGGGAAAACGCAAAGACAGAAACGAAGGGAGATTTGGCAAATTGTGGTCATGCATGGTATGAAAGAAAAACACCAAAATACCATTACTAAACACAATATATATGGACAACACCTATATAAATATTTTAAGACATAAATTCGCAAACAAAACGGAGATTCCAAAAGAAGATCACATTATGTTGAAAAGATTTTTAAAAGTACGAGAGGCGGATAAGTTCACTTTCTTCGCAGAACGGTGGCTTGTTCGGTGCACTGGATGTTGATTTCGCAGGGCGTCTGCTTCCAGGGCTCGCCGTCGGCCTGCACGGGGCATGTTTTCAGGATTCTGAGCCGAGCCGTCTTGGCTTGACCGAGTCTGATGGGTTTGTTCAGTCCAACTTGGAGCTGCGCGATGTGGAAGGAGGAGACAATGCCCAGAACTTCCATGACACCGTCGGAGAAGCTGCTGGGCGTGGAATCGTTCTCCTCGCGGCTCATTTCTGAAAGGAGGAGAAGAAGATCTAGTAGAAGGATTCACTATCGACTAGCTGGGACGTCAAAACTCACCCCATAGCTTCACTCCGGCTCCCCAGGAGTCAATGTTGAGAAAGACAACTGACTGCAGCTCAGGCAGATCGACCTTCTCATCGTCCAGCCACAGTTCGATCTCCTTGTCGAGTCCCACGCAGTCTGGGATCATCACTTGGTGTGTTCCGAAGCAGAGATAGAGCATTTTGTTGATCAATCGACTGCTCAGCATGTAGAATTGACTTTCGCGGGCGCGATGGAAGTTCAGGGCGACTTGAGCATCCACGCCGACACTGAAGTAATTGTACATGAAGATGTCCCGCTTTACGGGTCGCTTGAGAGGAATTCTCGACGATGTGCCGGTTATTTCCAGCACCCAACGATCGAGTTTCATCACTTCGGCATCTCTTATCTGGCGCAGGAATTTCACAGGATCAACACTGTCCGGGGCTTCGGCGCCCCAGTTGAGGATGCGCGATAAATCATTGCCGGTGCCCAGAGGGAGGATGCAGATCTCCGGGTAGGGCTGCACAGCCATCGAGAAGAGAGTGTTCATCACCCAGCCGATTGTTCCATCGCCGCCCGCCACGAGGATGCGACAAGGACGTGGACTTATCCTTGCGATCCACTGCAGAGCATCTTGCGGACCTGATCGCGACATCTCGGTGACTTGCAAGGAATTGAGGACGCCACGGAAGAGTGCTAGGAAGTCATCGGAGCGACTACTGCCGGACTTCACGTTGGCCACGACAATCAGGGGCTTCCAGGTGGGCCACGGCGCAGCTTTCACGCCCCTCAGCAGCAACTTGGCACCAGCACGCCGACGCACGGCATCAATACATGACGATGGGATGATAAAATCGCGAAATTCTCCATAATCACAGTCCTGGCGCAGGGATAGAATGTCATTAACACAGTCGCTGGGCAGAGAATCAGCGGACTTACTTCACTCATCCGAGAGAAACAAGCAGTGTGAGCGCACTTTTGGCACCAGCAACACCTGAAGCCATGCAATCCCGGCTCATTGGTGGCATCCATGTCCTCGCCACAGGCATCGCAGGTGCAATTCAGGGGCAGATTCCCTCTTGTCCACTTGTGCTTGGCCAGACGATCTTCCTTGGAATGCTTTTCCTTGCACTTGAACTGTCTTTCGGCTTTCTTTATGCACTCCGGATGGGAGCAAACGCCACAGTGGTCACAGAAGCGGCCCGTGGACACGAGGAGAATCTCACAGACTGAGCAGTAGCATCCCTGGCGGGGTGAAGTGGGTGGAAATTGATGAAAATGGACGGGAAAAACAGTGTGACCTTTCTTACTCTGTCCAGCAACTTTGACGACTTCCAACTGTGCCGCGGTTTTCCTTGGATGTACACAACATCGTGGATCAGGAGGTATCTGACCAAGTACCAAATGCTCACTGTCAACACTATAATGCCCGTGGCGAGGGAGAAAGTCCACTCAATCATGGGGAAATGCCGGGAAATGCGATTGAATACAAGTGGAAAAACCTCAGATGGGTGACATCTTCCCCATTGTCACCGCCCACACTGCGGTGGCGCTGATGTCAGGACGAAGGCGCATGGAAATAAACTCAACGAATCGTTCAAAATGACCTTTATTCAAAATGAGAGTCGTTTCAACAGATAACAAGGCAAGAAATTATTTATTTGTCGCAACAAATCACTATCGTCCAATGTTGATGGGCTCATCAGCCATGCCCATCTCGTCGGTGGGCGCCTTGGAGCCTTTCTTCTTCTTTGAATACCAGAAGAACAGGATTGCCGACACGAGATTCACGGCGAAGCAAATCCACGCCAAGTAGATTCCATAGCCGAACCTGAGGAGTGCAGAAGAGGGTTTTGTCAAGGGTTTTGTAGGGAAGGAGTAGATGTGCAGGGAAATCTTGTATACCTGTAGGTGGCTCCTTTGGGGAAGGTGTACGCGAGATGCTCCTTTTGGTATTCAATAGAAGCCGCCAGCACCTGAATAACAACGAGACTCGTTGCCGCTGAAAACAAGAGGGAACATGCAAATGAGAAGAGGAATCGCGTGTGGGTGAATCGATAAAATGCAGGAGGAGTGTGTAAAACTTTCTCTAATGGACTCTAAATGCGATGGTGGCACTGAGAGGAATAAATTGAGTGCCTCAAAGAGACAGCAATGATTTTTCTCCTCAGTGAAGCCGTCGCTTTTCCACCGCCTCCCTTCACTCCCTATATCCGTTCAATTGCCGAGGGGATGATTTCTTCCCTCTCTATTTACCCGATATAAAGTGAATTCCACCTGCCAGACGCTTGAACATGTAGCGAGGATTGAGGAAAGTGTAGATTGAGAAGAAGAAGCCCATAAACATGATGAAGAGAGTGAGCACGGCGAAAGTGGCCTGCGTTCTCGTGTAATCTGTAAGAAAAACAGAGAGCGAATCTTCCATCAATTAATTGTCTCACGAAGAGCCACACTTGTTGAGATAATTTTAGTCTCCCACTCGTGAAGCGTGGGTGGATTTATTCTAAAAGAATTGCCCATGCAAAAAATTATAGTTCTTTTAGTAATTTTCCCCCGTATACAAAACCCAGTGTGTGATTTATGGCTGTTTTCATAATTATTTCTCGCTCAGAAATACCTCAGGCGTTCAATTTTTTCTCCTTGCCTTCCTTCACTTCAAATACGTAGTGAAAAATGTAGTTGTGACACAGTCATTTGTAAATCATCGTGAAGATACTTGAAGGCTTAATCGTAGATTTTCCGGAAAATCACAAAAACACACACACACAAATTGGAGTGAAATAAATTAAGTCCTCATTTGGATTCATTTATCTCACTGATTTATTCACTTTTCACATGTTGTGTTGCAAGCGGGAGAAAAATTATGAGATCATTTCTTCAAGATTAACGAGACAATTGCAGAGAAGATTCCTTTGAAGATTGAGGATATTTTATGCATAAAAATGCACTTTTTTCTCATGAAATATTCAATTTTGCAGCATTGAAATTCTTTCCACTTTACTGAAGTCAATCTTATTGCAATATTGAGTTGTTTTCAAAGGTTTTCTTCTATGAAAATAAGAAAATTTGAATCTGGATTTTATACTGCAACAATTTTACTTTAGGATTATTAAATTTTTCGGAATACATTTAGGATTGACAAAGGAAACAATCAAAATATTATGTTATTCAATTTATTTGAATGAATTCTTGAATTCTGAGAAAAAGGGAGAAGTTTTGACTTTCATACACAAATCATAAATTTCATAGGCCAATTTTGAGAAAACGAAGAAGAGAAGAATGTTGGAAAATCAATATTAATTTAAATTCGTCTGTAAATTTAAATTTATCACATAGAATATTCCACAGAAAGTGAGAAAAAGAATCAGAGAGAAAGTTTAAAAGTATGAATCATATAATGAGGCGCATTTTATTAGAGCGCAGAAACTTTTGAGGAAATGAAATGTGATTAAAATGTGAAACTTCTGGGTGTAAAAACTTATGTAGAACTTTTCCTTCATCACACCTTTTGTAATTATTGCAACAAAATATGGAAATTCATGCTGACCATCAGCAAGGGAAAGTGCATAGAAATAAATCTTGCACTTTCTGCCTCACAAGAGGAATCATGTGAAGTTGGTCGGCGTGACAAATCCGCGAAACACCTGATTTGCATTGCGATGAGCCAAGAGAATGTCGCAATTTCACTGCTCTCGAATCCCCATTTCACCCGGGGCTATTTTTGCGGCCCTTTCGATACTCACTGATTATCTCATCATCCATGGCGGGGTCTGAGCTCGTGGGATCATCGGCCTGCGAGAAGTCGTGGTACTTGCAGCGCTCTGTTGATGAGAAAGGTGTGATTTTTGGGCATTAACGCACGATTTCGCGTCTTCGAACACTCACTGAACGGGATGTACTCGTAGCCATTGTCCGTTCTGCCCTTCTTGGGCGGCAGCGGTGGTCTGATGATCAGCTTGGTGCCATTCGGCGAGATTATTCCGAGGGGAATCTCCATGTCTCTGGCAAAAGACCAGAGAAGATGAATCACTTTAGACTTGTCTTCCCAGCCGTCGAACAAGGCATTTCGCAATCTCTCAGGGACAATCACGTTCACGTAAGTCTCATTGACTTGGACTGTAGACAGAGCGCCTCCGATGGTCTCATTGAGTGCCGACACGTTCGTGGGATTCAGCATCACCATGCCCGATCGTCCTCGGCCGGCTGTCTGGCCATCTTCTGTGCCGTTGAACTCGAGTGTCTTGAACGTCGTCTTGAGGACGTCAAAGCCAATCTTGTTCCCCCTCACCCACTGTCCGAACAAGTGTCTCCGCAGATTGTCGTCAATCTCTGCAATGGGATCAGGGAGCTCCTCCGCCAGCATCTCCTCCACGTACTCCTCCCGGGCGATTGTCTTTTTCAGCTGGTTGATTTGCGTGGCATTCACGTAGGCCAGAGTCGTGAAGTTGCGTGCCGCAGTGGAATTGGCCAGGACGAAGGGCACCAGCCCATATCGACATATCCGCCACAATCCCGCGTGCGATGACATGAAATACCTCCTCGTTTCTGGGATGAAAATTCCTGCCAAAGAGAAATTCCCAACATTACGAGCCCGAAATTGTTTCTCTTTGTCTCCCGCGAGACTCCTTCTCAATAAACCTGCCAACTTCCTCGATTGTGTGACTGTTTTTCTCTTGTTTTGCACATACATAAACATTATAAGTGTGGTTTCTTGGGTGGAAGAGAGTGGCGAAAAAAAGCGACACTCTCATATTTATATATTTTTAAATAAACTCCGCTAGAATGATTTATCTGCTTTGTCAACGTGTGAAACTACAGTCGGCAAAACTTTTGGGATTCCTTCTGACCACATTAACAAACTTCTTCGCACATTTTTTTTGTGCCCCTGCTAATTTAACAGAATAGAAAGAACATTATTTTTAGTCTCTTGTTTTCCGCCCCTCGCGCCCACCTGATCGAAAATAGCGCCAGAATTAAAATCCCATCTCACAGAGAGTAAACAGTGGCGCAATGGCATTGGAAGCCATGCCCGGAGTGCCTTAAAGTTTTTCTCTCTAATTGCGATGGAAAAGACTGTTCATTGCGAGTGAGAGAGAGCTTTTTGCACACAAAAAGGGGGCGGAAAGACGATCGAGTGATTTGGCGGATCCAGTTGATGTCCACAGGAAATCCCGAGATGAGGTGCCCGTGAGATTAATGGGCGCTCCTTCGCTCTTCCGCGCAATCAATTAAACCAATAAATTGCTGGTGTGAAAAAGAATCTCCGATTGCCATACAGTGTAATTATTGAGTTTGACTGGGTGATATTTATAGCAGAGCAGAGCGCGTTCAAATCGGCTCAAAGATAAACTCTGTCTCTCCGCCACATTCTTATATTTCATGCAATTGAAGCATCTGCCACGGAATGAGCATTTCGTCACTATCGCTCGAGCATCAAATGTTGAGAGATGAAAATGTTGAATATGCAAGAGTGCAAATGAGGCGGAAATTATAGGGGGGAAATCTAGGATTATGGCTTCAATGCTGTGCCATTTGCATGTGGAGGAATTTGCAATAATTTGCAATATATTTTTATTGCTGAAAAATTGTTTTATCACAAGGAATTTATTGATTTCACAAATTCTCTATTCATAGACGAATGGAAAATTTGTTACAAAGTCTTAATTTCTTTCATTGTTTTTGAACAATTTATGTGTGCCATTTAAATTGAATCTTTGGGCGTTTTTCCCCTCTCAAACAACACTTTCTTCACTGTGACATTGGATTTTTATGTTCGCAAAATGCATCACATGAAGTTAATTAAACATTGCAACCCAATTCCTCACAATAGCCGCATAAATGTTGCATTTATGAGCCAACAAAATTCACTTTGTTCCTCTAAAACACTCCACTTTCGTGAAAATTTAACGATTTGTCGATTCTCGTGTCACTCTCTCGAAAGGATTTACACTGAATTGCTGGCGTATCTTTTACGATTGCACATTTTATACCTCGTCCTCCGGATACGATGAACCAGTGCTCAGAGGCGATGGCCACGATCCAGATGACGGCGAAGAGGCCAATTGTGGCGGTGCAGCCCAAGAGGACTCTTCGCTGGAACATGAAGGCCTCCATCATGGGCTTTCGCTCATCTCGCCCAAGAGACGATGTGGACATGATTAGGGCTTTGAAGATGTCTTTGATGTCTTCCCGCTGTGCGGCTAAAGAATTTTCCCGGGCTTTTTTTTCTCGCAAGCAATGCGGTTTCAGAAAAAGATTTTATCACACTCTTCCGCCTTCGTTCCGCTCGGTCAAACTTATGCTTTTGAACTTGACTACTAATGCGACTAATAATAATATTGAATCGTAAATTTCCTGTTCCATAGTCACGAAATATGATGAAAATCTGTCTTGTCGATTTATTATACACTCTCACATTGTTCCTCTGATTCACTGAAATTCAATCTTCTCACACATCAGCACTCTTTCCCCGTGATTTCTCTTCTCCCTTTGCGGACACTCAAGAGAAGCACTTCAATATATATATCCTTTTCTTGGCGTTGAATTTCCACCAGAACAAACACACGATTAGTCCCGGTTGCGGAGAGAAGCTTTGAGATCGAGGCTCGGGCACTCACTGAAGATGTTAAATTCAGCAAGAGCACAGCCACCAGCTCGATGGCCCGACAGCCCGAACTTTTCGTCGACGACCGGTGAAAACTAATGGGAAAACTCTCGTGTTCTTTCCGCGGCTGTAAATAAATACTCGCGAGGGGATCTCGAGGGGGTTTTTGTGTGAGAAAATCCCCCAGGAAAAAGTCATCCTTTCGCACATCACTCGTGACACTGCGGAAGGCATTTGGAATTCCCTTTGGCGTGATGTGCCTTTTTTCTGTTGCGAATGGCGTAATTTAATTTTTTAAACACCCCCATGACTTTTCACTCCTCTCACTGCGCGCTGCCTCACGAAGTCTTGGCACGTTTTCGACAGTGATAATTTCACTGAGGCAGAATGACGAGTGTCCGAGGGAGAAGTGTGTGACACTGGCTCTGGTGCATTGTCCCAGAATAATTAAATTACCACCAAGTCATGCTCTTCAATCCCTCCACGCATCCCCATTGACTGCCGCTCAATTGACACTCAGGGAAATGGACTCCTGTCTTGCGATGTTCAATTTGTAGAGTCATAAACACTGTGAATCAACGATGAAGTGGTAGAATATTGCAGAGAAATGTTCTCTGCACTCGGAAAAATACGTTTTTGAGAGTTTATCAGCTTGATTTAAATTGTACATTTGATTTTCAGTGCGATTTCGCGTTATTGCTCACAGAATCTATCAGCAATGATAGAGTGAAAGATATTACCAAAGATCATCCAGAGTTGTTAATAATGAAAGTCAATCCATGTGTAACTTATTAATTCAGCAAATTGCTCTGAGTGCAGACAGAGAGTAAACTATGTAGTGTGACAGTTGTGTCATAAATTTGCCCGCTAAAGCTCAGCCTTGGCAAGATAGGAAAAGCCAGGAAGAGTTTTCACAAAGAGAATAATCTCTGCTGTTCTCTTTCTCAAATGACTCCGCGCGCACATATCCCAAATAAACAGTGCGCCCGCGGGGCCACAGGATATCGCGCGTCTCATGTGGAGTCTCAGCGGAGCCCCCACTCAAATGGGCGCCGCTTTCTGCTTCTCATCACAACTCCCCCTCACGCGTGGCGTCCATTGTTGTGCTCCAACGGGTCGGCACTCCAAGGCATGACTGTTTAAAGAGACGATTACGATTTGGTTTTTATTTAAATATAGCACCGGCTATTAGGTGTTGGATCATTTCACTCTGCCCATGACGTCACACGCCTTGTGCCAGAGATAAGCATGACGCGATTGATTGAGCGCGCCTGATCTTTGGAGCCACATGGGCACGCAATTTTGGCGCCTCTCGCCGCCCGAATTACACCCAGATAATGACGTTTTGATGGGCGTGCGTGAAAATTGGTGGAGCGATGATTTTTCCTCGCTCCCACCGGGAGATGTTGTGCACTGTCATCGTGTGACTCCCCTGAGCCGCACATGTAAAATTAGCCTAATGGCGGGGTGAAATGCTCTCACTTTGTCTCATCATCCAAACTGCCGCGCGCGCGATGAACAATAGTGAAGGTTTGCTGGGTCACCCTGCTTTTGGCACAGCTTCCAAGTCACCAGCATTAAAACAGATTCAATTTCAATCACTCTGTAAACATTCACACAACTAAACACCCAAGAACAGTGGCGAAAGGAAAGGCGTCAATTGAGCGATCTGATGTGAAATATCGATTTAATTTACCCGATAATTCAGCGTCCAATGTGTTGATTTTCATCTCAGATTTGAGCACAATATTTAGACATTAACGCAATGACTTGTTGTTAATTTATTCCCAAAGGGAATAGACGCTTAGACAGAATTGCAGTGCACAAAATGCTGGGTAATTAACCATAGACAGATTTTCCCTTAGATTTTCCAATTGAGTGCAGAAGAGTGAGCGAAAAATTGAATTATATTGAATGCATTTTAAGGACGCTCTTTCACTCATTAGTGCTCTATTTTAATTACCACATCCTTGCTGTGCGGAAAAATGTGAAGCGGAGAAGGATGTAAAGGAATGAAAGGAACAACTTTTTCATGCACAAGTGCAATTTACGTGAGTTTTTGCTGGTCATTTCGACTCACTGAAACTTACTTGAGAACTTTTCATGTTAAGCATCTTCTCGTTTTGCTCTGAAATTGAAAAAAAAGTAAACTTTGCAAAATGAGGTAAGCAAGGAAATACATGAAAAAAATGATGAGAATAAAAGTCATTTTCGCGAAAGTGATGAACTCTTAAGAAGCAGACGCACACCTTTCGTGTAGTTTACAGTGCGGATGGTTAATAAATTGTCAGTTGAAATATTCCAAAAGGTAGCATAACGCTATAAATCTGATTTTTGTGGGTTTTCTCATCACCGCATGTCGGAAAACATTAACGAGAACTCCTTTCCGCCCCAGAAGAACACATGTTGCAATTTATTTTCAGTATTTCTTTTTTTCCTCCTGTTCTTAAAACCATATCACACATTTGGAAGTCTTCGCCTAAAAATATAATTTCCTAAAATACTTGTAAATGCGAGTTTGGGGCATTTTTAGACTCCGATTTCTCCTTCTATTCTTCCTCTTTGTATTCTTCTGGCAAAGTGGCGCGATTAAATTTACGCAGAATTGGGTTTGGTGAGACGAGGAATTTCGGGGTTAATTAGTTGCGATGCAGGAATAACAATTGCAGACAGATATTATCAATTAATTCGGGTGAAATTAGTCGTGGAATTCATTGGGTGTTAGCATTTGAGAATGGATATGCAAATCTCAATTAACACTTGTTGTACTTGTAGGCCAATATTTATTGTGATTCTATTTCGAGAACCACACAAAACATCTGCGCTATATCGCACAATTATATATGAAAATTCACAGGGTATGAGTGAAAAATCCGCGTGGATTTTCTCATTCTGGGCAGGTTTGGGCAGCTCCAGTGGGAAAGAAAGTGATTGATGTGATCGAGTGTGAGGGAGTTTTTTTGGCTGGTAAACAGCTCAGAGAGAGAAGAATGTCTAAAGTGAGCAACTATAAGTGTCTTTAGCATAAACACAATTTGGCAGAACACTAGAGGAAAAAATCTCATGATAATCTTTCCGTTCAGTATTGGCATATTAATAGAAAATCCGAACTCATTTGGTATTATGACTTGTTACATAATAAAATTTTATGGAAAGTGGGAAGAAAGAGAGACTAAAGAGCCACTTTAGAATTTCAACTACATTTTTCCCTAATAAATTTTGAATTTTTATGAGCGCGCCAAACACTTTTCCCACATCGAAGGTATTTGGCGGAAAGTTCTTTTAATGTTGAAATATTGCCCTGTAAATTCACACAATGCTCCATATTTTTATTATTTACGAGCGGTGCTTTTGTGAAACTTTCAGTGCGAAACTCATAGTCGAATAACACTATTATTTTAATGCAGTCTCTTCATCTTTACTGATATTGTCGTATTTTCCACCGAATTTGTGCTTCAAAATTCACATTCAAGTGAATATAAAGGACAATATTTTGTCACAAATAAAATTCTATATGAAAATTTCCCACTAAACTTCCTTGAGTGTGCTTTAAAAGCTCTCTGAAATGAGTGCTGCCATTGAGTCAAAATGAAATTTGAGGATTAGAGAAAATGTTCTTGAGATTAAGCGAGAGTTTATTCTCTCCAGTGTCATTTGAAGTGCAATTGTGTGCCTCATGCGACGAGCATTGTCTCGAGATTCAGTGGCAAGGCATGATTGAATTGACATCAGGATATCCCGGCTTGAGTTGCGCGTCATGCGCACTTGTGCCTCCTGAGCAGGACTCTCGCCGGAGAATCCTTCTGCACAGAAACAGTTTCTGAGTGTGTGTCGCATCGAAAGGGTGCTTCACTGTCGTTCCTGTCAATTCGAGGTGGGCTTTTTTCACCCAAAAAAGTACTGAGAAAACCTCCAGTGTGTCACGCAGGAGATTTATTTCCATCGGTTTTCCCCCGTACGCCTGAAGACGTCGGGGTTTGGGTTCCATTTAACGGCAGGTGTGCGTGAATTGTGAGAAGAAATTGACTGAGATTGACTCGAAATTGCCCTGCCTAGAGGCTCTATCGGTAAGTTTGTACTGTAGCTCATATTTAAATTAGATTTTATTGAGGAGAAAATTTGTCGGGGACCCAGTTTGGCATCGCAATTTCTCCTGCTAATCAGATTTTCGACAATTTAATTGTGAGTCGATAAATTTCAATTAGACCATTTCATCATCCAATCGACAAGAAAGGGTTTCCCCAGCAACCCTTCGCAATAGTTTTGGCCCATTGGAGTCTGGAGAGCTCTCTTCGCTTCACATCCGCACAATTTATGTCGTTGAGTCCTGCGGGTTATCCAGATCTCTTCGCATAACAATGGGTGATGGTAAATGCAGAATCGGCAATGGTGGGAAAAAGCGATGGGGAATTGTGGGCAGCCAGAGGGCAAATTTGCACGATTCACTGACTTCGATGGGATTAATTTCACTGAACAGACGCTCGATGTGTCGGTTATTTATCTTCCGCCCTTCAAGTGTCACAATTATAATTAAATGTGTCACCAAAGTGAAAACCTCATTTCCCACCGACTTTCTTTCTCCTGCTTTGCTTTGTTTTTTTTTCCGTCTCACCGGCCGCTTTCCACTCACTCCATTTTCCACCTTTATACGCCGGGTTTCATGCCTTTTTCATCCGCACACACCCTTCCGCTCTGGCTGTATTTTCCATTAAATTTTAAATTGCATTTATTTGAGAATTTCCTCTTCCGTCTCTCTCATGGGGAGATTGACCAGCACTTTGTGTGAGTCGAAAACTTTACATGCATGTTGGATCCTTTGAACTTTACGTTTGGATATTTGGTGCATATTATAGGGAGAATTTAAGGGTTGACTTTCTCAAACTCACTCTTCATTCCCCGAACTTTCTATTCATCATGTCAAAAGCATACAAACACACTCACTTTCAGGCTAAAACAACAACAGAATGACTCAAAGAGCATATTTTTCCACTTTCAACCCCTAAAAGGTTCTCTCTAAGCATTTTGTGTCTGTCCAGAGAAGAAAGATAAATAATTCGCAAGTGTTGAGATTTATCCGCAATCTC